TTTTTGTAGTATTTCTTTAAAAAAAAAAGAAAAACACTACGTTAATATAGAGACTATCAAAGCATTTTATTAAAAATAAAGAAATAAGAAATTCAAGATAAGGTCCCCAAAATAAATCTTTGCATGGTACAAAATCCCATCCACTTTTGACACAAAGTCCTTTCACACAGAGTCATTGTACGATTAATTATTCATCACCCACATTCTCAATATGAAACACAAAAGTATTCTGCTGGAAACAACATTACAGTATGAATAATCAGAGCTATTAGCTTAACAGCATATTACTATACAAACTTTTGGCTTCATTTCTTGATATTAAAATGTCTTAAACTACCATCATACAGATTTAGACATACAACTCCCTCAGTCTGTGGACATTGCAATAGCTGTAGTAGCGTCTATTATGGCACAAATATTAGCAAGAAAATGCTTTTAATAAAAACTGTTAAATAACAAATTAATTGATGTGAATGAACCGGAGATGACAATTTTCAGCCACAATTAGAAGTGTTGCATGTCAGAAACCCTCAAAATAAAGAATTTCACAGACAGATCATTATCTCATCTGTTACAGCAGAATTACTACTTTTGTAGCTCAAAAGCACAAATGGGCAATTAAAAAAAAGCTACAATTTGGAACCAAGTCCCTAATTTTGTGTGTGTTAAGAGACTTCCCACAGCTTAGATGATAAACAAGAAAGTCTGCTTTCATAAGGTCAGTTTGTGGGAGCTTCCCCATAATTTTTATATCAAACTTTAACTTTACCTGTACAGAAACGGACAAGGAGAAAAGCAATTCAACATGGCTCTTTCTGAAATGATATACTGAAGTTTGGCAGCAGATTGTTTCCTGTAGAGCCTGTAAGAAAAGAAAATGAGACTAGTTAGCACCTTAAAAATGCTCTATAGTTTTATGACAGAAGCTATGGGGCAGGGTACCAATATTAGTTGTCACTGGTGTGTGCATTTTGAATAATTTTATTTAATAAAAGTTCTAATACTGAAGTCAATTGTTAGGAAATTTCTTTTAAAAAATGTAATGCGATTCTGAACCGTAGCCTGCCACAGTTCATTTTTATTTTTCTGTACACTACAGTTTGGTACTGAAACAGAGGCATGCTATCATAACATTTTATGCATGTGTGCAGTAAAGAAAAGCCTTAATTCACCCTTCTTTCTGATAACCAGAAAAGCTGTAACAAAGAAGTGTATTACAGTCTGGTTGGTGGTTAGTATAAACATTTTGAAAAACAAAGATCTGAACTTGGTAAAACTTCCATAGCAATATTCTCATATTAGTGAACATGTATTACCCATAAAGTACCTTTAACATTTAGTGGGACTATTTATTATTCTTGTTTTTAGCACTACAGAATTAAAAACCCAATAGCAGCTATACAGCTTTTCCATGGTATCAAAATGTGATTAAACAGCACATTAGCAATTTTCCCATCTCAAGCTCCATTCCAAGATGTCAAAAATTAAGCATGAATTTACAGTAACATCTTACTTGGGGGCAGGATGAAATTATTCATTTAAGGAACTGGTTGTTAGAAACTAGGGCCATGTGTAGACAAAGCAAGGGGCATGTGTGCATGACACTTTAAGTGGGCTAAATGCTTTTGCACCGCTTTAATAGTGTTGGTGTTTGTATGCCTTGGCAACCTATTGTGCATTAATTCCAGCCACTGTTTGAAATTCACTGGCATAATGCGCCTTAAATGACTTGGGATGCAGCAAACTAAAACCCACTACAGCCGCAGAGCGAAGCACCAGGCTCCATGCAGCTCCGCAGCTCTGCAGAAAGCCCTGCAGGCAGCCTGGCAGAAGCCTGGGAAAACAGGCACCGCCCAAGAAAAGCGGTGAGCCTCATCTTCCTGTCTGTCTGCCTGAGCTGCACAGGGGCCCAGGGGCTCCACGGCTGTAGTGCCCCCTGGGGCTGCTTGAGCCGAGTGCCTGCTGGCAGATGCCATGGTGGAGGGGGCTGCCGCTGCCACGGAGGGAAGCACCAGTCCCCCCGCAGCCCAGGGACCACACTGCCTGCCAGAAGCTCGCCCTCCCCTTCCCGCCACCAAAGAGGCAGGTAAGTCAGTGAGGTGTGTGCATGACATGGGGGTTTAAATCAGCCCTAAACTGAAGTGGTGTTTTTAAAAACCCTATCCTATTACTCAAAAGGCAAATCAGATAGCTCTATATACTAGCAAACTGTCTTTTATTGCTCAGAGGCAATATAAAGGTAACTCAAAACACACTGCCTCCTAAATTTAACATATAATATGTTGACTGTGACAGGCCTAGAAAGCAGTCATAGCAAGTTAGAACCTGCTTTATTGCTATGGACATACTGAATTCACAATTGTGCAATTTTCACGGAAAAAGGAAAAGAAAAAAAAAAAAAATCGGATGGGCGTTAAAAAATGGTGGACTCGCTGCAAAAAAAAAACTAAACAAAAAACAAGCAAACAAACAATTTGAATTGATTGATTTTGAATTCCTCAAAAATCAAGCTGTAAGCAGCAAAGAGGGCAAGAAACCCTGCAGCCCTGAAACACGATAGGGAGGGAGATGGGGACAGGGCAAATCAGAGGCTGAGCCTGTGACAGCCTCAATTCAGGAACCAGCCTGGGGCCAATCAAGAAGCGGGAAGGTTTTGGCATCAACTTAAAGCACCCACAAGCATGCTGGTACAGCATGCTGCAGCCTGAGGAGGATTCTCCAGCATGACCACTGAAAAGAAATCTTCTAAGATGGCCAAATACGTTTCAGCACTGGACTGTGTAAGACACTAACCTGCAGGGACCTTACATGCAGATAAAGGCAGACTGTTCTGTACCACCTGCAGTACAATCCTGCACATGTAGAGGAGAACCAGCATAGATCCACACTTAGAATCCAAGTCACACAGGAAGCAAAAGGCTGTTGCAGAGGTTAAGAGTCAGAGCAAGAAACAAGCAACCATGCCCTCACTCTTTAAAAGGACCACAGAAAGCAGCCTGGCAAGGGAGAGGTGTTATTTTCCCTCAGAGGCTTTCACAGCAGCATCAAATACCCACTGGAGAAACACAATCACCCAGATTTAGAGGAATTTACCTGAACCAAAACATGTCGAATGATGGCTGTTTTCTAAGTGCCAACAAGCTTCAACAAGACTATCTTCCTGCAGTGATCGCTTCACATGTACAGTCCACAAAGTCTGCATTGGCAAAGTGTGAATCTTTCTCCATTGTGGCTGATGAAGCCATCTGATCCTCAAAATAACTATGTGCTGCACATTTGATTTGTACCAGGGATCTGGACAGATTGTGACCAGCCTGTATTCTTAACAGAGCCAGTCCACACCACATCTGTCAATTTTTCTACTGTCTCAAGGGAAGGTAACTTGTCAGCTACAGCTTAAAAAGTAACAAGATCTCCATATTCCTGTCCAATGATGTCATGTACACGTGCAAGGCTCTCTGATACGCTGCAAGGAATACTGCCCAATGCAGTTCTCGTCACCTGCAATGTGCACCTTGGCCACATCCAGACGAGCATGGCTGTGCGGTATGTGACACCACATACATTTCTGCACTGCAGCACCACATGCCACATGTTCAGCTGTTCTCTGCACTGCAAGGAATTAGCATGGGGGGGGGGGAACCCTAGGTAAGGCTGCTGGGGGCAAGCCCAGTGCTGGCCACCCCCCCTCTACCCCACCTAGGGTAACCTGCCACATGTCAGAGGGTGCATGGCACAGGTGTTCCCTGGGGACAACTGGCAGTGGCACAAGGTGTGCTGTTTGTTGTCCTTGGGGAACCAAATGTCTATGCTCATGTTGATGTGGCCATTCTGTCTTTAGTGAGGTGACATCTGATGCACACAGTTCCCTGATGTAGACAGCTCAGTGTCGTCCTCCAAGAAAGCCTTCAACCACTGTCCAGGTCATAAGGTCCAGTACAGGAAATCCATCACCAATCAAAGTGGGGACTTGCATGCCACTGTGCTGCTGCCACCAGAGCTTGTGTTCACAACGTGGAATTCATGGTTCAGTGCAGTCTGTTACCACGCCTAGCATATACAACACTATCAGCAGTTTGTGAGCAAAGAGCTGGAACTCACACCTAGCATACCATGCATACTTAAACTTTGCAATCTCTTAAGCTGAGGCAACATTCAAGATCAAGTGACGTCTGTGGCTGAAAATGCCACCCAGTTCATGGAGTTTCTAACATGGTTTGAAGGCCAGCAGGCTGTGATCTACCACACAAACACACACAGCTGATGGATTTGGTAAACTGGATCAAAAACAGGGCACCATAAAAACTGTGAAGCTATCCTCATGAAAACCAGTGGAGACAGGAACTGGGCCAGGCAATACCTGTGAAACTGAACTAATACTACAGGTACAACCCGTCACTGCCATCACAGTTAAGTCAATTGGCTGCCTCCTTCCTTAGTGCTGCTCACATTTTGGACCCCAATCAACTGCCTGTTCTGCATTGTGACCCTCAGCTACTGAAATCAATCCCTGGAGGGCAGAACGAGCATGACAACAAACATGCTGCTTACGTGAACTTTGTCAGAGTGCCAGATGCCTGTACTTGCATTCTGGTACTCTGTCCATCTGTGACCAGCTTCCACATCCCTAGACCCCGATGAAACACTGCCCCACCACACCAATAAACTCAGAGTACAGACAAGTGTTCACCCCATAGAGGCAGAGAATGTCAGCAGCAACTGCTGCTGGATGCAGCATGCTAGCATGAATTGCCCTTGCCTCAAGGTTAGCATTCAATTTCAGTAAACTCCTTTTTATAATGTCCTTTATTAATGTGCATATAGTTGCTATTAATTACAATTCATGTTGTATATAGCTTTATTTTAATAATTAAACTCTAAACTGAACTATCTTAAGTGCTTAGATTGCTTAATAACATGTCAATTAATGGCTTCCATGGGTACAGTCAGAGGATTAAGCCCATGGAAGCTATGAAGGGAAACACTGTTAAGCAATTAAGATGTGGTTTGGGGCCATCTGGCAATCTGGGAAAGGCAGGACTTCCGGGGCCCCTTGGCCAGAGGTGCTGGGAGCCTGCCACACTCAGCCTGTGAAAGTGGCAGCTGACCTTGGGATATGCTCACTAAACAAAAAAAAAAAAACCCAACCAGCCACCTCCTCGAGTTCAGCAGATCCCTACCTACTGCCCCCATGTATTCCACAGCCAGGTTGATTTCCCTTTTATCTAATCACTCTCTGGCTGCTTGAGTGAAAAGGGATGAGTGGCTGCAGGATATGGTGACATTCAACAGTAGCTGGAGGCAATAAAAGTACTTCCCCAATCTTTGTAGGTGTGGCTGGAATTCCTCATTCCATTCTTATTACTAAAGAATTACCACTGTAAGTTTATCTAGGACAGTCACTGGCCTCCTGAGCACTGTTTCACTTCACTGTGACAGAATAGTCTATTTCTTCACTTGTTATTTTTATATACTTATGTTGGTTCTTTAACCCCAACTAACTGTTGGCCAGATGTCCATCCTGTCCCACTGCCACCACGGTTAAGATAGAGCCGAATAAAAAGTACACTTTTTATTCGGCTCCATCTCTTGACCCCTCCTTCCCCCAACACAAGCTTCTCAGGTTTAACTCCAGGCTGTATTCTTGGCAGGGGGAGAAAGAGGGGACAGTGAAGAAGGACAATCAGGTACCAGTTTTTTAGTTTATTCCCCTGCCCCGCACCTTTGAGTACTTACCCTTCTGATGCTGCTTCAGAATTAAATATAAATACTGGGCTTAGCAAGTACTACAGAAGTATTTCAGGCCATCAGGCCTCTTCCTGCCCTCAAACAGAGGTCCTTTCCACTCAAGGGTCCATTCTG